ATAATGATACAGTCGCAGGCATGCCGCAGGCATATGTGAACCAGGCTTAAGAGCATGTAGTCGGCAGGCTTTCTGACACGTCCACAAACTTCAATATGGTGCCTGACAGGCAGTGGAAGTATTGGGGCAGTGTTTACATGAACCGGGTTGGCCCGGTTAACCCAGCTGCCCAGCTTATTTCAAATCCTCCTTAGTTTATACGTAAACCGGGCCAGCCCGCCTAGCCAAGATCTTATTTGTTGTTATAAATGCAAGACATGAGAAGAAACACCAGGTATTTTATTTTTATCTGAAAAAAAAGACTTTGACATAGATAAGGATTTTTCTGTCATGGTGGTTGATACCCTGGTTCCAGAGGGTTTTTTTTGCCGCTGGAGTGAGAATAGGGCGAAAGATCTGAGAACTTCTGGTAACCAAGGCAACGAAATATTGGTCTTTGCAAGGAAATGGGTTTTACAAGGAAATGGCAAGGAAAAATACTAAAATTAAACAATTACAAGGATTTCTAAAACCACTAAACCAGTAATTAAAATAAACTTATAAATAGTATACGCCTAAATAATATGATACATTTGCCTCCAATTTTCCTGAATTTTATTGATTTTTTCTACCGTTTAGGTAGAAAAGAAATTTTGTGGGAAAAAAAAATATATATGTCATTATATAGTCTGCGCGCAATTGACAGATTGTGAATCATGGGGCGCTATCCATTTAATGGTCTGACCACTGAGCTATAATACTACTGGAGGAAGTGCTCGGCAAAAAAAGTGTCCGCAAAAACATGGCGGATTTTCGCGCCATATGACGCCATTTCCATGACAACTGGTTCCTCCGGCTCATGAAATTACCACTGACCAGGCTCAATTCTGAGCCCGCTACAATTTTCACCCCCCCTGGTTTTATCAAAAATATTTTTGCTTTTCGACGTTTTTGCAGTAAATTCTCATTGTTTTTTTTATATTTTTTCGACTTTTGACCATTGGTTCAAAGATTTAAAAGTCGTACACACTATTCTCACCCGCGAAAGACAAAAAACCGATATGAAAGCCCCGAAAAATTTAGGCAAAGACGATATTTGTTGGCACAGCTATTCAGGTAAATTTTCACATACTATTGATATGCTTTTATTTTTAATTTTTGAATGATAGTGGAGTAAATGATAGAATATAATCCATTAGATAACAAGCTCTTTGTATAGTATATTATTTTCCGCCGTGTATTCAAAGTCTTGTCGTAGGCTACTGACAAATACAGAAACTTTGTTTTTATATTCAAAGTTTTTTTTTGTTGTTTTTTTTACTTTACTAGCTTTGTTAAATTGTTGGCGGACCATGGTTTTTGTTAAACAAATTTTGTTTTATTTAATTCAGTTAAATCAGTTTTTCCCTCGAATCAAAGGGGTTTTCTATATAGACTATATGGACTGATGGCTGAAATCTGACATGCTTGATTTTATGCAATTGTATGTGCTAAATAAGTGTATATACAGGTATAAAGGCATGAAACAATGTGCTTCTATCCATATTCTTTGTGTTTATATATGCTAGAGTCCGTGTTTATTATAGTATGCATAATCTAGGGTGCCAGTAGAAGCTAGCCTAGGGGTGCCAGAAGCTCAGGATACTGTGGCCAACTTATCTGGTAATATGATTTCTACCTAGATTTCTGACTGTCATGTTGAATTGAGGATTCTTGAACCACTAGAAATAGGATTGTACTTCCTGAATGTTGGGTACCAATCACAAGTGTAGGTATAAGCAAAGTATCTAGATTATAGGCTTTATAGGGTTGCACTGGATCTCATACAGGCCAGAACTGAGAAAGTCACACATGCTAGTCAGACATCAAGTCAGAAACAATTTAATTGGTAGATAATGTCACTTCCAGTCCATGCAGGTGGATTTATTTGGGGTTTTGTTCATTTCAGTCCTCTCTCTGTGCACCCCTGTATGATGCAACTACCTGAAACTAACTAAATCAATGAACTTCAACATTTCAGGTGAAAGACCTATAGTATTATTTTTCAGGTAGTTGCATGCATGCTACATTTAAGCCTTTAAATAGTGTGGTGGCTTAAGCTGTTTTCTCATTTCCTTTCTTCACTTCTTTTGCCTGTAGTGAAAACTTTAATTTACACCATTTTAATTATATAATCTCTTTTTGGTCTAATTGCAGAATTATTTGATGGTGATACAGTTCATAGTTCAACCTCTTTATTAAAGAATTATCAATTATTAGAAAGAATATAATTAATTTTGTTAGCAGTGATAAAACTATCCAGACAAGTTATTATTATGACTTTGTAGCCAGATGGGTATGATTTTGCTTTGGCTGTTCAGCATTTTGATCCATTGTGATATGTCTTTTGGTACCTGTGAATGATTTTACCTGCAAAATGAATGACAGAATATCAGAATGTAACATTACATTACATTAAGATACATCCTTACACTGCAATATAATTATGTAAATATAGATGTTCAGTGTGAAGAATATGGTCTTTGACATTCTTTGTATATAATAAACATGTTATTGTGAAATGGAAATGATCAAATAAAGTTATTTCTGCAACAGCCCTTGCATTCAAACACCTTATTTGTATTTTTCTTGTTCATGCTTGAGCATCAGCCTCAGGATAGGCAAATTCCATTGGATTTGTGAGAGCACTTGAACTATATTGGGTCATTACATGAATTACAGAAAAGATTCAGACTCCCACAGCCTGTGCTACAAAAAAGTTACAGCTGTGACAATGTAGAGGGGTGATCCAAATAATAAAAATGATGTTTAATATGGACTTAAAATTATTAAGCAATTGAGTGCACCAGCACTTTCCTCTTTAACAAATAAAATTATCTAGCATTGGACTGAGCAAGATAACAAAGTAAGGCACAGTGCCCCTTAATTAATCACTTAATTAAAGGTTTAAATGCTGAATTTTTTGAAAGTGCCAGAGAGGCAACTGGCAGGCTATACTGAAAAGGTAGGTTGTGGACATGCATCCTAAGTAAATACTGCTACAAAAACCTGGTAGTTAGCAGTTAAAAGTTAAAGCCAATCACGAATTTCATTATTTCAAAGTAATATAAAACAAAACAAGTCGAGAAAAGGATTTTGAACCCAAGATATGAGACAAAATTAATATGAGAATGAGTTTGAACATAAAGAACAAGAAAAAAGAGGATAACTGAATTACAAAACTACTGTGATATTGTTGAAACTAGAAATATTATACATTTGCTGTTTATAACGGTAGTGTTTTACCTTTTCCATCGAAATGGCAAGTTAAAATATTTGCCAAGCAGTCCAAGCTTTGGCAAGCTAGAATTTAAAAAAAAGTATTAAAAGAAATAAAACTTTCGTGAATCTTACCTGAAAACAAGAAATATAATAATCCTTCGAGTGAATTGTTTCATCTACAAGCAGACTAAAAACTTAAAACTAACACACTTTTTCCTCGACTGCGAAAATATCAAAATTTTCGGTCGAAACTCGAAAATTATGACCAAAATTTTTGCAAAAACCAGGGGGGTTTTTACCCCCAGGATTTTATTTCAAGCGCAGGATCGCGGTTGGTCAGTGGTAATTGCCATGAGCCGGAGGAACCAATTGGCGTCAGCAAACATGAAAATCCGCCATGTTTTTCCGGACACTCGTTTGACTGACGGATAGATAGGAGCACGTCCTCCAGTAATATTATAGCTCAGTGGGTCTGACCGGTCAGACCTGAATTTTTGTCTCTGTATCAATGGAAAGATCTGGTCTATGTTTCTCAAATATCTAGCGAAAATGAACCTCAATTCTAGTTTTATCTGACCTCATTCTAATTTTATCTAAATTTTCCGGTCAGATAGGTACGAAGCCCAAACGTTTTTTGTTCCGTTTAACAATTTGACCGTTATAACCGGTCTTTTAGCGCTGCATGGATTTTCGACTGTCACGGTTTTGAGGCCTGGTAACTAGCCGGCCGCAGGCGTGTTTAATATTTATAATTTATTTCTTCACTTGCATTCTTTTAAAATAATCTTCCAATTCCGACACAGTAGCAATTGAAAAACCCCGCATTGAGCAGGTTTTACAAGCTATTGACGCGCTATATAACAACGCAGGTACCGAAGGAAAAGATCTGCTTCAAAGTGGCTGGAAAATTTGCAGAATTCGGTAGGAAAATTGCCTCTATCTTGTCATTGTTGTTTTCGTCGTTGTCTTGTGTGCTGGTTGAATAGTTTGGTTTTACTGCGATTATTAATGTGTCTATCTGTGTTTAACAACTGGATTTTATATATAGACTATAGTTTAATAATTCTTTGCCAGCATTGCATATCTGACACAGTAAAGCATTTATATATCGACTTATAAACAGCAATCTTTATAGGAAATACAACTACCTGACCAAAATAAACAGAACTTGAAAGTTTTGAACAGAGATACTTTGTCGAGAAGTTAGTAGAGGGTGTGAATGGGGGGTTGTGCATGTCAGTTGTCAGTTAAAATTTAGCTTGTTTGTCAGCTAAACTTGATTAAATGTGCTTTATTTTGTATACTATATATAACACTTTAAGTAACACTTATTGAAGTTTATCATAACTCCATGTTGAAGAGCTGTTAAAGCGATTCTACGCCTGGATTTGTGATATATATATATATATATATATATATATATATATATATCACAAATCCAGGCGTAGAATCGCTTTAACAGCTCTTCAACATGGAGTTATGATAAACTTCAATAAGTGTTACTTAAAGTGTCTTCTAAGTGCACCACGGGAGTCCGCTGGCATATGCAGAGTCTGCAGTCAGCTCAGCTATCCCTTTGAGTCCTTTGACGGTCTCTGAAGACCCTTTGAGTCCTTTAAGTCCGTTAATAGTTTTATTTAAAGTCTGAATTTTTTCTGACTTTCACAAATTTTATGTGTTTTATGGCGATTAATTCGATCTTTTATTCGGATTTCTAATTTGCCCCTGATCAAAGAGTCACCGAAGTATGGAAAAAAGTCCAATCAAACTTCAATTGTCAGTTAACAGTAAAGTTTTACTTGTCAGTAAACAGTTAAAAAAATCGTTATTTGTCAGTTAACAGTTATCTTTAAGGCCGTTTGTCAGTTGTCAGTTAACCCCATTCAGACCCTCTTAGTAGCTAACCTTCTTAATGTAAAGTATAAAGATTGCAGTTTTGTTCTTTTCCTATACCTATGCAAGGTCATAAATAATGGCTGGAGGGTCACTGGTTGAGGGACTGGCCAAACCAATTTTAACTCAGACATACCTAATACCTAAAATTGCTAAGTGGTCCCGAATATTTGAAAAACAATGAAAAATATTACAGTTAAATGTCATTGAAAACTGAAAATTCGCGTTGCGTTGCCAAATAGCGTACGGTCTGTATGGGCTTTTAAAAATTCTATCTTGCCCCCCCAAAATATGAGTTTTCCCCTCAAATGCCCCCCAAATTCTGAGGCCTGGTGCCGCCACTGGTGAGAAAGGCCAGCCCATTGCTGAGCAATGTCAATAAAAAAATTCCCAAAGACCATATTTTCTTACCTGCAATGCAGACTCTCTGGCCAATTATAAAGTCTGTGTCGCAGGCTACACTATATTTTTGGGTTATGAGACCGGTGTCACAGGAGATTCGCCCCCCCAGGAGATTTGCCCCCCCCTCTCAAAAGGGGGGCGATATTCCTAGGATATTCGCCCTCCCGGGGCAAATCTCCTAGGAATATCGCCCCCCAGGGGGGCGAATCTCCTAGGAATATCGCCCCCCTTTAGGAATTTCGCCCCCCCATATTAATTTTGAATTTTTGATCTAAAAACAAAACGATTGCAAGTTGAAAAGATTCATTGCGTGATTTATTACAAGGAGATAAAATTACATACAATAGCCGCCACAGTAATCACTTGCTAACAATAAACTATAGGATTAATAAAAAATCTATGGAATGTGTTGGGAAGCGTATTGACTATTGTCCGTTGAATCATCAACTTTCCATGTCAGTGTTAGTGATGTAATCTTGATTCTTGACTTCCGCAAAGAAAATTGCATTATATATGTGGTGTGGTTTATTCAAATAATTTCATGATACTTTGATTTTATTAGTGCCTGAGACATTTGAGAATGTAACTCTGCAAAACTAAAAGCTTTTTTGTCTTTTGAAACGTATATTATTGGAGTATTGCCTATTGGCAAGTTCTACCCTTCGCTTCTGAGATTTACAAACTATATTGAAATAATGCAAGTAAAAAATAGTGACAACTTATAAGCCACAATTTTCCAATAACAACAAAACGCGGATGCAACACATTACCAATAATTACAATAACCACCACGGTGATTACTTTTTAACAATGAGTTTAAGGATTAACACTGAAAATGCAAAATATGCATGGTGTGCTGTGAAGCGTCATAAGTCCTATTGATCTACTGTAACTGTGTAAGCCCTTTCGATACACGTAATTGTAAATTTGCATTCTTACAGGACTTGAAATAACGTTCCTAAAGTTCCCGATCATGGTGATCGGCAGTCATGACTTTCCCTGCTTTTTTCAGGTTGGAAACCGAAACCCTGGGACACCGGAACCACAGAATAGGATAGATATCTGTTAGGTGTTGTTATAAGTTTATGATTTTTGTTCTATAGATTCATTATTTCTTGCATGAACTTCAACCAGTGCAATATGAGGTAAAAATGAGGAAAATGTAAATAACTATCATGATGCTTAAACAAAATTTATCCTGAAAACTATTTTTTCTTATCCAGAATTTAAAGAACTCGCTACTCAATCATATCACTCAACTACACAACTCAACACAAGCTATTCTTAACCAGGTGAGTCACAAAAGAAAATACTGTACATTTATTATCTCACAAATGTATTCATGGAAAATATCCATGACTATTTTGATGGCTGATAATGAGTGCACTCATTCCTAGAAAATGTACGCCTAGAAAATCCCACCAAGAAATCTGCCATGGAAAATTGCGGTCCTGAAAAATCTGCACCCAACCAGAGAAGCATGGATTGATCGTTGAAAAAAGCCATTAATATATGTTGTTCACTAAAGATACCATTGTATCATATTTGTTTGCATTGTATTCTAGCTTTGTATGGCTGTTGCTGATTTTGTTGTTCAAATGCCACAATGGTCTAACCCTGTTAAAGATCTTGTTGAAAAGTTATTCGTTGCTTAACCCATTAAGCTGCAGACATCTGGTGTTAGACAAGTAAAAAAATAAGTAGGATGCATTGTGGCTCCTAAGAACTTTATATTTTTTTAGATTCAGCAAAACCATACAGATGATTCCTGCATTGTTGGAAATATTATTATACTTAACAGAAGAGGTAATACGCACCACAGATATTTTCTTCTTTACTCTTATTTATTTTGTAGTAACATTTGACCAATTATTGGGCATGACTCTCCCTGGACCTCCAGGAAGAACAGTCTGGACATACCCAACATGGCAATCTATTCAACAACTGTTTTACTTCTGTAGGTAAAATATGAAAATTTGCCTGTTGGAGCAAACATACAGTATATGAAGAAGTTACAAATCAATTAAGAGAATCCTCACTTGTCGTCATCCAACTACTTGTGCGTAGTGTTGAAATACCTAATAGACAATCTAAACAATGTGAAAAGCGACTTTTTATAGTTCTGTAAACTTACCATTCATACATGCAAACACAGCGATAAAAGTTTACATTTTGTTGTGGATACACTTTCAGACTTGGGAGAGGCAGTGCCCCAACAAATAAGGGATAAACTGTGCATGTAAAAGGCTTATTGAGTTTTGTTTTTGCAGAATGCATCTGTACAACAATGTAGAACAGATACTACTAAATGTTGGTGTTATTGGACAGTTTATTTCACCACAAGTTTTATTTAATATATAGTTATACACGGTTCATCAATAAAACTTTGCTTCTCTTTTTAAGATATTTTGCTGTCTTGGTGGTTGGTTGTTGCTGGGAGCCTACCCACCTGACGAAGTTATGAAGAGTCGACTTTTTCCTGTCTTATTTGAAACTTTGGTGAGTTTGAAAATACGATAGACAACGACATTGACTTTTTATGTTTTTGATCAACAGCCACCGCATCTTTTGTGGAATTTTCAGTTTCCTTTATCTTTCAGACTCTCTGCTGTTTTGTTAATGGTTGAGTTTGTTCATCAAAAAGTGTTTTTTGATTGTATAGTGTAGTTTTTTTTATTAATATGTGTTTTAACATATTTAGGTGAACGACAAGGCCAGTCAAAACTTGAAAGAGGCTGCTACTGACGTTCTTTGTTATGCTATCTTTTCTGTGGGTGTATGTATTGACATTTCTACAAAGGTTATATGTTAACAGCAATGTTAAAATTGGTAATCCATTGAGCACCAGTGCTCTCAAGCAAAATCGTCTGGCATTAGACAGTGTGAAGTAATAGTATGTATAGGTTCAAATAAATGTAGCATTGGGCGTAACTCAATGGGTTAATCATGTTTCTCTAACTACTCTGGTTTAAATAAATGATTACAAAGCCCAGTTGAATTGTAATCAAGACTCAACGTTTCGACACTCCAGTCTAGTGTCTTCATCAGGAGTGATCTAAAATTGCAATTGTGGCTTCTTAAATACCCAAGGAATGACGTCACCTGCCAATGAGATGCATATATTCCTCTGGCGAATAGGCACCGTCATCCCTATTCAGAGCATGATTACTTATATTTATATGCCACGCTTCTAGGCAAAGTCTTCGACCATAGTGATTGTTTGTGGTAGCAATTTGGTAGTTTGTGTTATTGTCAAAGACTTTGCCTAGAAGCGTAGCATATAAATATGAGTAATCATGCTTTGAATAGGGTTGACGGTGCTTATTTGCCAGAGGAATATAGGTAATCGTCCCATGTTTCACGCACCAATATAGTAAACGTTATGTAATGGATATTATAGTCTACTGAAAAGTTAACTGAATACCTCCATACATATATACACACACACTAACCTTAAACCTATCCTTAACCCCAGTAACCTTAACCTACTGTAACCCTAATACCTAACCTCAACCTAACCCTAATACCTAACCCTAGCCTCAACCTAACCCTAACCCCTAACCTCAACCTAACCCTAATACCTAACCTCAACCTAACCCTAACCTCAACCTACAGTAACCCTAATACCTAACCTCAACCTAACCCTAATACCTAACCCCTAACCCTAACCTAACCCTAATACCTAACCCCTAACCCTAACCTCAACCTAATACCTAACCTTAACCTCAACCTAACCCTAATACCTAACCCCTAATCCTAACCTATACTGGTGTGCAAAACATGGAACAATAACTGGAATATATGCATCTCATTGGTTGCAGTGAACGAACAAACTCTAAATCAATGGGTTATTATTTATTGTTTTATAAATCAATTTACAGGATTTGGAACCACAGTGTCAGATGGCGGCTGCTCTCTCGTTTGAAGTTTTAAAACTTGTGCCTATGTATGAACAAGCAAAAAGTAATAGTGATCATGACAGGTAAGAGTGAAGATTATGAAATATACGAAATGTTTCTACATTTTTTCAAGCTGGATAACGATACGGTAAGATGAGACGATGTAGCTGCAACTAATTGTAACGCAATTATGTTTGTGGTGTTATTACTCTGAGTGTAAATCCACAGCGGGCAAGCTGTAAAGTTTGCCTGACCATAGTGAGAAATTCGAACCCGCGACCTTTGCATGAATACTAGACCAACTAAGCTACTAACTGAGCTACGAGGTCAAGTCGGCTCGCAGCTCAGTTGGTAGAGCAGTTCAACAGTAGTTCAAGTGTTATATATCAAAATCTAAGTTATTCTACATTCAGTTTTTTGGGGGGACACCCGGTAGATTAATGTTCTTGCTGCGTCCACATTTCCGTAACACTTACTGAGACCACTTACTGACCGCCCGCGGCCATCACAATGAATCACATTTTTCTCTTTTTTTTGTCTCCGGGTTATTCTTGAAGAAAAAATGCCCAGAAACAAACCAGTGTGGACTCCAGATGTGGAGGGGCATTTCTGGAACGCCCAAAAACTGTATCCACCCTGCGGTTGCAAGAAGACATTTCTACCTGAGCAAGGGAAGTCGTTCGGTAAGTGATTCGAGCTTTGTCCTTTTGATCTTTCAAAATCGCGTTGTTTCATAACTTTGTCGTCTGGTATAGAAATGGCTGGCAACTACGTACTGTACAGATTGAAAGCCGATGCAGGGGGCGGTTTTTCAAACGTAAGTCGAACGCCTAAGGCGTAAGACACAATAGGGGTCTGGGGACATGCAATTTTCCCCCTTCCCCGGAAAGTAATTTCAAGCGTTTTTTTTTTGGGGGGGGGGGGGGGGGAGATTTTGCAAAGATTATAAAGTACATCAAGCAGATGATTTTTTATGATCTTACAAACGTGCCTTCTTCCAGACATTTCACTAACAGAGAGTCGTATTAGTTTCTATAGCCTTTGAGTTTGGCTCATGAAATCCTTTGCAAATTGAAGTGATTACCCATACACAATTTCCTAAGCTTATTTTACATCATGAAATGTGGCTCTTCAGATTATAAATCGCATCCAATGGCGGGGAAATTACGTCTACATTTATATACATTAAGATTTCGAAAAAAATTTAAATTTTATGCAATCCAATGAGAAAGAAAAAAAAATCATGCAGCATACAATCGAGAAAAAGAAATATCATGCAAAAGAGAGCGCTCAAAAAAATTTCTACATGCCAATCTACTGATGTTCTTCACTTCAGTATTGTGTCCACAGGCTTGCAAAATTTTGCATTTTTGAGCAGGCATATTTGCTTAAAAGAACACGGGGGTGAACAGTGGACAACATGAGGGGATTTTACCGCCTTTGGAGCCTATAATAGCCAGTGGCGTGCCCTGGCAAAATTGTTGCCCCCCCCTGAGAAAATCTGGGCTTAAGATATGTACAGTTATTTATATATATCTAATATGCATGGTAGAAAAAGTATTTTAGATGGTTGAGTCTGTGTGCGTTTTTTGATAATATAGCTGCAAGTTGAACGTACTGTATATACGATGATTTTAATGCGAAAATGCCAGTTTAGAGAGTCTAAATTTTAAAAACAATTTCTGAAGAGAATGCATCCCGATCCCCAACAAGCTATCTGTATGAACGACAGAGCTATATTTGGTGGAACATTGTTGTTTCGGAGGGCAGTTAAAAATTGCATTATTGAAATCTTTTATTACATATTAACCAAAGTCGCTGACATACGCTAGGGGTACGTTAGGCATACGTTGTATACGTTTCAAGCACGGTCGCATACGCTGAGTTGTTCAAAAATTTTGTGCGTATTGGACGTATGCTTTATACGATAAGCATACTCTAGGCACACGCTGAATACGCTAGAGGTACGCCAGATGTACGGTACTCATACGCTGGCATTTCAAAGGATTTTTGTGCGTATGAAAATTATTTCATTAATTTTCATACGCTTCTCATACGTTTCTCTCATACGCAATAGTGTGACAGGGCCTTAAGATGTGGCAAATTAGTATTAATTGTTACAAGTAGTGCTGTTAATGGTCACGTATCAATGAAATTTCCTTTGGGTAACAATTATGAATTTCTACATTTCACATTAATTTTACTGAAATATTGCAGCCAAATTAGGAATATTTAAGTTCTTTTCCGCACTGTTCTAAAACAATTCTGAGAAAGTAAAACCTGATTCTCAGACCTCACTCTAATTTTATAACAATAAAAGCAGCAATGTGTGCCTTATTTCATGATTTTGCCCACCAAATGGGAAGACTTTATATCTTTGTACTCTTTGTCATCAACAAAGTACATTTAGCAGACAATTACCATCAGTGAGGAAAGTCATCTGGTGTTAGTCAGAATGGAATTGGGAAGTAATATTCCGAAGTTTCGTTGCGAAATGTTGTAAAATGCGGATAATATAGCCATGCGAAATTTGCCGTTTTTCAGTCATTTTGTATTACAAACGGGAAATTGATGCCCCAGCACCTGATTGGGCTGTCAATTTCCCATGCGTAATACAAAATGACTGAAAAACGGCAAATTTCGCATAGCTATATTATCCGCATTTTACAACATTTTCGCAACGAAACTTTGGAATATTACTAATTTTGTGATGCTCTTTCAAGCTGTGATGAAATTTTTGTCTAGATCAAAATTTTAGTTATAATGGGAAAGGTCCATTGTCAAGAATCTTTCACAAGGGCAGACAGTACCCCAAAATGGCAGATTTTGGCCTTCGTGAGAAAGGCTACTGTATTTGGGCAATAGCCTGCATGTTGGGAAATCTGCTTAGCAATGAGGGAGAAACTTAAAACGTTATGGACAAGACAGTTAAAGGAAATCTTTTGTCGGTTTACAAATATGTTTACTAATATATGTACCCTTGTCAATATTTTACGCATCTTTGCGTTCAGCTTATAGTGCTAGGGCATTCAAGTATTAGCAATACTTTATTTCAATGCTAATTGAGCAATAGCCTGTTGGGAAATCTGCTCAGCAATGAAGGAGAAACTTAAAACTGAATATAGTTTTGTAACATGTATTTTCCAGGTCGCAATGAAATGATTTCTCGACACATCAAGCTGAACACGGGGAAACAATAACTGCCAAACAAGTATCAGGGCTTTCAGAATTATTCTGAGTAGGTGTCTGTTTTGATAAAGTAGGCGGCTGTTGAGAGGGGACGGTCTAGGGGGTCTTAAGCTAGTGTATATTGATTAGATTAGATAGCAACTCACCTGAGCTCTATAAGCAAATTATAATGTATCACTACTTTCATTCTTGCGGAAGCCGTGAAGGGACTTCAGCTTTAGAGTTCACTACTTCGGACTTCAGAATTCGGACTTCATACTTCGGGCTTCAGATTTGAAACATTGGTTCCTTCCGAGCTTCGCTAACAGCTAACAGCCAACATTGCTTTTCCGAAGGTGGCTAATATTTCAGGCACTTATTCAGTCAAAGTTATTAAAACTAAAGTCAAAGATGGTAAGAACGATTTGGACTGTAAGTGCACACTGTTGGAATATGAGTCATTTGCAGGTTTGCAGGGCGATAAAACATATTATATCTCATTTGTGTCGGTTTTCTTTGATCGTCCGAGGCTTACAACTAGCTAATATACCTTGAATAAATAATTACATCAAACTTTTCGACAAAATGCAAGAATTTTTCATCAAATATTTTTGAAAATGACAAAATATGTTAGAAAACCTCCACAAATGAGATATAAGTTAGTTATAAACCTCGAAAGTCGGTTTATAACTGATATATTGCCCTAGGACGCTGCGCGTCCTCGGGGGCAATATATCAGTTATAAACCTCCTTCTCGGTTTATAACTCTAACTTATTATATGGCTTTTCAAAATTCTCTATTCTGATTGGTTGACAAACGGTCCGCAAAAACTCATATCCGGACCGTGGTCCATATTTTCCGTATCTGGACTGGTGTCCCGGATGTCGTTTATCTGGCGGGAAACTTTTGCTTTGCAAACAGAAAAAACTTTTGCTTTTTAATTTTCCAATTGTGTGTCATTAAAATTTACAGATAAAAATTTAAAACAACCAAATTGTTTTTGATTGAGCATGTATGCCTACCGCATATTGTTACCCTGTGAAACTGACGATAGCCGATTTAATTCGCGCGAAAAGCATATACTGACAGACTCAGTTCAGCCATATAATAAACCGATTATTGACCTCGCTTGTTCGGTCTGTACTGTGAAATATCAGACCTCTGTTTTTTGCATGGACCTCTCTCCTTCGTCGCTCGGTCCATACTAAAAACCTCGGTATGATATTTCACAGTACAGACCTTACGCTTGGTCAATAAGCCGTTATAATACTACAGTATTGTTTGTGGAAACACCACGTAAATTTATTACTGCAGTACATTAATTAAACTTATTCTGTAAATTTATCACGCAAATTTATTACTTTAAATTTATTAAATATATTATTATTTTTATTTATTACATTTATTTATTATTTTTTTATTACTAAAAATTCATAAATTTTTTAGCGAATCCCAGCAAGCCTTCGCGCTCGTATTCGACTTTTCCGCTTTGCTTGGGGACAACCTTGATTTAATTGAAATAGCTGTATATAACATCATATTCCAACAGTCTGCATTTACAGTCTAAATCGTTCTTACCATTTTTGACTTTGGTTTGAATAGCTTTGACTGAATAAGTGCCTGAAATATTAGGCAGCTTTGCAAAAGCAATGTTGGCTATTACTGTATTAGCGAAGCTCGAAACCAATGTTTGAAGTCTGAAGTCCGAAGTCTGAAGCGCAGAATAAAGATCCATACAGAAGGGCCACTTACGTCGGAAGCTTTGGAGCTTCTGTCCTCGTGCATGTTGCATTACGCATGTTGGCCGACACGTTGCACCGCTGAGTGCATCACCCTTCTGTTACTGATCTTTATTCTCAGTGTCTGAAGTCCCTTCACAGCTTCCGTACATTCTTCAATAAGATAACTTCAAGATTTAATATGGCAAATAACTAAGTCGATTTTACGAAATAGCACGCTGTGTTCGAAAATAACCAGACTATAAAGTATAGACCAACTGACCAAGTTGAAGAAACATAACTTTGCTTGAAAGCTTAGAGTTGGAGGAAGGAGAGCAGAACTGATATTTCAAGTATTAAACAAAGTAACCGGCGGTGAACCTCGTGGCACCCGCCAGAGCTCCAGCGGCCGCCGGCTTATTCTGAAAGCCCTGAGTATGTTTCAGGAGTGAATCTTTAAGTGGGTCATTCCTGATTCACATACACACACCTCTCATGGAGGGAATTTTGCTGTCTGGAGGGGAGGATCAACTTCCCATAATAGTAAATTTACTATGATGCTGAGGGGGGGGGGGTCTTCCATCTTCCATGTGGGATGTGTGAATGTTTCTGGAATGACCCATTTATACAGGACTACAATCAGTTGTATATAACTTTGACTTTATATCTTTATAATTATCCTATTGTACTGGAACAGTCTATATCCTTTATATCTTGATATCCTTTATATCTTTATATCCTATCCTTTATATCCTTATATCCTATTGTACTGGAACAGTCAAGTACATCAGCCAGGCAGCACTCCAACGTCATTTGGAGATTTCCCAACAACACATACCAGAACATTCTTTGGAAGCAGTCCTGGGTCATCTTCAGCGTTAGTACCCAGTAACAGTATATCAGTTCCCCAAATGAAGAGATGGTGAATATGAGTGTAATTTAATCTTCTTATTCCTAGAAGTGTCGACATTTCCAGGGCGTGAAATAAGTCAGAAGGAATGTGTTAAAGATGTACTGTATACTACACATCAAACTAAAAATCTCCTTGTCTTTTATACCAGATCTTTCCTTATTAAGTAAGTATGCCTGTAAAATATTACAGCTTGTCAGCTATAAATTGCTATGAATTTCAGTACTCAATTTTTTTATGGCTCAAACTTTCCTCAATGTTCTTGTTAGAACCTCACAAGTCACGTTTCCTCTATAGCAAGTTATTCGCCGATTCTTCATACACGATTATTAACATTTTGGCATCTTTGTTTGCAGTACTGGAACAGTCAAGTTAGCCAGCCAGGCAGGTCTGGAGGTCTTCCAACAACACATACCAGAACATTATTTGGAGGTAGACCTGGGTCATCTTCAGCGTTAGTACCCAGTAACAGTGTCAATTCCCCAAACGAAGAAATGGTGAGTATGAGCGTAGTTTAATCTTCTTATTAGACAGATTTAGATCGAGGACTCCGACGTCAAAGACGACGTGAAAATGGCGTGTTGTGCCCATGTATGGATATGCCACGCCATTTTGACGCCATTTTCACGTCGTCTTTGACGTCCTCGATCTAAATCTGTCTATTCCTAGAAGTGTCGACATTTCCAGGGCGTGAAATAACATTCCCAAAGTTTACAATCATGGTGATCGCTAGTCATGACTTTCTCTGCTGTTCTGCCCCGACCATCAGGCCCGCCCATGGGCATAGAAGTACTCAAGTTACGCTGTTTGCGGACCTCAACAATTGCCTTCTACTGCACACAGAACTCCACAATCTGCCCAAGTCAATACTATCTCGTTTAGCTCCTTTGAGCCCTTCTCCCAACTATTCCTTGGGTGATTTCTTTCCTCCTTTCCTGGGGATTTCACACCAGAGGCTGGTGACTGATGTTACTTGCTCACTGTCACGTAGTGGTGCTCCTCTTCAGAGCATTTTGAAAATAGTCGTAGGGTAAGCAGGCCTTCGTTGTCCAAGATCTGTTCTTTCTGCAGGACTTTCATGACCTTTCTTGTCGTTCTTAAAGAACTCGTGGATTTTCTTCTGATTCCATTTTTTTATGGAAAGGCGAAGTTCCTTTTCGCCGCTTACGAAGTTGCCTCTGTTATCAGATCTCATTTCTGCTGGGTTGCCTTTTCTTGCAATGAATCTTCGCATTGCGTTGATGAATGAGTCTGTGTCGAGACTTGATGCCACTTCTGTATGGATTACAAATATGGACAAGCAGGTGAAAATCACACCATATTGTTTCACATGACTTCTTTAACGCCACACGTAGAATGGTCCAAAACAGTCTACGCCCGTGAGGTAAATGGTGGGCTGCAGGGTGCCACACGACTTTCAGGCAGGTTTGCCATTTGTTATTTTCCAACTGAAGATTGTCTTCGTATGGGCATGGTGCATCGTGTGGTAAGGCAGTTGCACGGTATCGTATGACATTTGATGTGGTGTGACGTGGTATGCCATGCTATGCTATGGTATGATCGTATTAATAGAGACCTTACGATTTTAGGACGGCGACGACGATGGCCTAACCCCTAACAAACTTTTAAATAAATGGTAGTAAAGATAATTTGTCGTATATTATCAATCGTATGAATTTAATGCAGTCTTAGAAGTTGAAGACATGAATTTTATCGTAGGGAAGAGTTCTGCTGAACCCAGTTTGAAATTGCACTTGTTGCTGCTTGAAATGCAGCCGTTGTATGAAGACGTGAACATCTTTCATTTCGCGTTGTAAACAGAGCGAAGGACAATGTCTAAATTATTCATATATTGTAATTTTTCAATTCTTTTCAATGACTTATTGTATTGGTAACCGTTGCCGTCCTAAATCATAGGACGGCAACGTAATGAGAATAGAGACCTTAAGATTGACGTTTACGGCAAACGTCAAACCGCTAGCGAAGTTTTTGATTTTACAACTCTATTATAATAGCTTTTACACCAGTTTTGAAATATGTTAAATTTATTAAACTTGTGCTCTTTAGCAATGATTTAAGAAAGCAAATTAACCACTAGTCATGCCATTCACCAAAGCAGTAAATTGAGATTTGGCGTTTGAAGTTGGCGTTTGGCGTATAAATTTCATGCTTGAACTGCTACGAGGGCTTGTAGTCGTTAAAGCATGAAATTTATACTTCAAACGTCAACTTCAAACGCCAAATCTTAATTTACTGCTTTGGTGAATGGCGTGACTAGTGGTTAATTTTCTTTCTTAAATCATTGCTAAAGAGCAGAAGTTTAATCAGTTTAACATATTTCAAAACTGGTGTAAAAGCTACAATAATAGAGCTGTAAAATCAAAAACTTCGCTAGCGGTTTGACGTTTGCCGTAAACGTCAATCTTAAGGTCTCTAATGATAGGTTCTTACTGTGAATATATGGAACCATATTGTCTCTGAATTTGTTTCTAGGCGAAGAAAATCAAGGAATTGGAGCGACAATTGGAAGATTTGAATAAATCAAAACTCGAAGGCGAGGTACTGTAAATATTAAGCTCTCTACAGTCTTTAAAGATAAGATTATCAACAGAAATAATATGAGGAAATGTTTTCGTCTGACGCACGCGAATTTGCACCACATTTGGGCTGAAAGTGGTGCATTTTCCCGTGCGTAATACAAATTACTACAACTTTCGTAGGGCTATATTTTCCTCATTTTACAACATTTCGCGGCCAAACTTTGCAATTTTACTAATTTTAACATGCTCTTTCTACTCTGGGGTGATGGATTTGTTCTTCTTGCCTAGATCTAAATTTAGTCTGTAGCTGGAATTGCGCATAATCTGATAATGTAAGCATAGAATGAAACAAAGGTAATCAAGCATTTAAATTATATGTGAGTGAATTGATAACTCACATGCCTAGTTACCACTGTTCTG